TATTTTTGTGGATTTTTCCCCCCACAAAAGGATGACTAGAAAGTTCAAAAGAACAGCATTTCTAATATGTTATTATTATAAATGTCTTTACTGTCACTTATAATAAATTTAATGCACCCTTCTGGATTAAAAGTATTCATTTCTAAAAAAAAAAACTAAAAAATTGAAAAAACCTACAGTAAAAGTAAAATTCAAGCACTTTTCAAGCACTTTCAAGGTGCATTTTCAAGATTTTCCAGCACTTTAAACTGGTAAATTTAGGGTTGCAAAGGGGTGCAAAGTTTCCAGAAACTTACCGGAATATTAATTTGCTTTTATTATTAATTTTTAAAATAAATATTTAAATATTTAAAAAATTATAAAAATCCCTGGAATATTCCCCAAAAATCCTGGAACGTTTCCGAAATTTACTGGAAATTTTCCACCTTTTTGCAACCCTAGGTAAATTACATGTTTGCACACATACTTGATCAGTCAGATGTTATTGTGCTATTAAAAACCACCTGTCTGGATTGCATATAACATTGCCTAATATAAATATCCAACATACAGTATATAAGGCTTTTTAAGCCCTGCACAAATAAAATGAATACTGTATGAATGGGATAGGGCAATGCCTATGGTAACATATTTGACTGGTACCATAAAATGACAGTAAAAAACATGATTTGCAGTTCAAAAACAGGTTTTTCCACAAATAAATACAGTTTTATATAGTGATAAACCTCACATTTCAGCCTTTAAACTATTTTGAAGAAAAGGGATTAGTCAAAAGTAGCTATTATTATCTTAATTTAAAACACACCCACACACAAAAGTATAAATTACACAGGTACGTCTGCAAGACGTCTGTTAAAGATCGCTTGATCTGGAAAGCATCTGCTGTTTACAAACATCTGACAGACGTCTGTAAGATGTCAGTTTTACTTACATTCTAAATCGTAAACAGACGTCTAATAAACATCTATATGACATCTAATAGGAAACGTCCTTTAGACGTATTGCAGATGAGCAAACACTCTAAAAAATACGTCTTCCAGATGTAAACTCGAGCGGAGCTGTAAGGCTTATTTTATGTTAAAAAAAAAATAAAAATTAATGATGAACTATTCAGTAAGAAAGCGAATTATTCTGAAACCAATTCACCTGCATTTTCAAGCACTTTATCCAAAATCCAAGCATTTTTCAAACCTTGAAAACACTACATTAAAATTCAAGCACTCTTACGAACCCTGAACCTACCACAAATTCCCCCAAAATATTACACAGCACCGTATGATTGCTTATAATTATTGAATACTTATTGCATATTGTTATTACTATTATTTATTACCATTACAGGCACTTTTATTATAATTTTTTTTTTTTACTTTCATGAGACCCAATAGAGTGTTGGCAATATCATTCTGACCAGACAGCAGAAACATGTGTCCATGATCCCGATGAGCTCAGGAATACTCAGATCCTTCACTCGTATGGCCTCATCCTTCAGAAAGCATCCCAATAAATAAGCATCAGGACAGAAAAAATGAAATGGATGCAGACAAAGAGAGACAAAAAGACACTTTCAGTACAGTTTATATTCATACTTAAACTTGCTATATTCAGGTTAATTATTACTATTACCTCACTTTATTAGACAAAATATTATAAGGTAACCAGCTCTTACCTTAACGGCCTGTTCAAAGCTGAGGACTTTGCGGTTGACTTGGTTTCCAATCATCCCAGCATCCATCTTCGGATCCATCATCTCAATGGCTGACATCGCCTCGAACAGACCGAACCTACAGGAACACGAGCATTACGTCTGCTGAATTCACACACACCAAACGCTGAATGTGTAACTCAAATAAGTAAAATGCGCTTACAATTTGTCATGTAGCAGCTCGCCAAGTTTGAGTTCTGCAAAAAGAAACATTTATTCAGCAAATTCCATTTCTGTGCATTACTCTCTACAAGACTCTACAGGACAGTGGCCTTGATAAAACATCACCGATGACAACAACGGTCCAAAAAACATGTTCACAATAAGATAAATGTGTTCGGTGCTGGAGTCGATTCATGATGCGGTCAAGCTCGCATGGGAAAGGAAGCTCATTTTAGATCTCTTAGTGACCATAAATGGCTAAACTGACAACATCAGGATAAGATATTCCTGCAGCCATGCCTCACTGCACTTTTAGAGAACATTTCTCCAGAGCAATGAAAATGCAAGACGCAATATCATAATCATTGATCAGAAGCACTGGCTGTGATGTGATACAAAGCTTGCATCCTGTTTAGAAATCACTTTACACCTCTATAAATACCTGCGAGTTATACAATACATGGACTTTTTTGCTTGTTTTGGAAAAATCTGGTTTGAATATTAATGTAAATGTCACATAAACATGGCATGTGGAAAATGGCTATTCTGAGATCATGTGCTCTCTGATGACCGTGGCATCTGCTGCAGAGTGTTCTACAGCTTCAGTTTCGGAACTTTCACGCTTAGTAACACATACAGCTGTTCCCTCACCACAGTGCAACAGTGAAAAGGGACCCCTTTCAAACAGTATCGCGTTCCGAACGTTCTTTAAGTGACATATACCGGTATTTTCAAAATTCATATCATAACAAAAATAAAAACCGGTATTAGGTATGAACCGGTATACTGCCCAGCACTAACACAGACACAGACAGACAGACACACACAGACACACACCTTTACAGGCTCCTTTGAATTCCTTGGTGACGTCCACCCAGTTGGCGTTGTTTCTCATCTTCTCTGGGATCCCAAGACCCCAACCTCCCTCCTCCTCCTCTACCGAAGACTTCATCACCATTGAGGCAGCTGCGAACACAAAATATACATGGGTCAAAGATGGGACATCCCATTTTGGAGTCTGCATCAGATTACATTTTTATATACATATAGGCGTATTAAATGCAACAAGTAAAGGGTCTACTTTAAGGTTTCAAATAACTTGTCAAAATGTCAAAATATAGGTGAAATAATCGTCATTCAGCATAACAAATATATTTGTCAAAATGAAAAAATATATATTTTTTTAATTCTGACCTGTATTTATTAAAATATATAAAAGATAAAGCAATCATACTAAAAAATTGTATACAGTAGTCAACATTTGAAGTGGATCAAAAAAGTTAATCAAGGTTGTGTCCTAAGACAAGAACGCATTTTGGTTTTAGGACAAATTTGATGAAAGGTTTTGATCCACTTCAAATGTTGACTAGCCTATTTTAAATGATTCAAAAGACAAAGACTGGTGAAGATTTTAATTCGTATTTTGGGAGCTGCACTATGATCCTCAGATAGAGCACCACTTCACCAGTTTGCTTTACTAAACCATATTTGTATAAATAATAATATATTTTAATAATCAAAATCTAGCGAGTTACCAACGTAAACAGCATTTTCCGGCATTATATGTACCTCACAGTGCTGTCTATGTCTAAGTAGGCAGTTCGCTAGTTTTTAAACGCAGACCAAAATGTCCAAATTTGGTCTCTACAGTCAGGCATGACAGACAATCAAACAAAGCCCGGTGTAGTTCTGCTGGTTTAACTGAACTGATCAGGACGTTTGACTCATGATCACAATACTGCATCCTAGCTTTCCTCAAATTACTGGCCAACGGCGAATCGTCGGTGGATTTCAGGTGAGCGCGTATCTTATGTATATAGTTGGATATTAATTATATTTGACATGTTTGATTTGGGCAAATGATTTAAATACAGAACCATCAACGATGTGTCAAACTGTAACGTTACATGAACAAAACGCCAGATGACATTAGCTGTCTAACCCCTAAAATATGTCATTACTACTAAATATATAACGTTACTTCATTCCAGTTTACAATATTTTAAATACGTATTTAACAACAAAAGACCTTCAAATGATAAAACATACAATACCTTGTGATTGCAGCGCTGTCGCAGAGGACGCCAGTGAATGACATCACACTGTGCTTTGCATTCTGGGACATGTAGTTCTGAGCTTTGACGCTAAAAAATGGCAGAAATATTATTATTATTTAGTTTTTTTCTGGTTAAACATTGACGAATTACAATTGAATTGATCAAATGTTTGCTCTAAAGTTTTTAAATCGTCGAAGCACCTTATAGTTATAATATTTAATGACTTCTGGTCAGTTAAAGTCCCCGACCCTGGTCAGAATGATACATTTAAAAATGCACTGAAGTCGTTTGTTTTGTTCATAAAAATATAATTTGGTGTAGAAGTATGGGGAATGCCCCATTTTCTTGCACTTCTTTATCATACTTTACACAATTCACACAATAAAACTTTTTATAAAATATGTCTCATTAATACTAGATTACATATATAGATGTACATACGTCTGCTAAATGAATACATGTAAATGTACATATATAAAGTAAAATAAATAAAATAGGATATTTCAATAAAAACGGAAATAACTGAATTAGACAAAACAATAACAATATATGATAATCAAATCTCTTTCTCTCTCACACACACACACACACACACACACACACAAAGTGTACCTACATTTAGGAGCTTTTCAATAAAATAATTTATGCAAAATAATGAATAAAACGTGTATATAATTTATATTATTAGTATTATTACTACTACTACTACTACTATTACTATTATTACTATTATTAAAGTACATATAAGTTAACCAACTGTGTCAGGGGAATACAGAAAGAAGGGGAAAAAATACAAATTTCAGTTTTCATTTGTCAAAGTTTTTACTTTTAGAGATATTGTTCCCAACTACATTTTAATGTTTTAAGTTGTTTATTCAAAGGTAAATAAATAAATACTAGATCAGCTTCTGGATATTCCCAAAATAACTGACTAATGGTTTCAGTCTAGCTTTCTAGCTTTCCCCCCTCCCTCCACGTCTGCCGACGTTACGCTACGTTACGTCGGCTCTGCGTCCCGCTAGAAGAGAGCTGATCTGTAAACCATCTGTGCGTCAGTCTGGTGTGGTATATGACGTACAGATCACGGTTTGTGCGCCAGCGCTGTTACTGGACGCGCCCTCACTTCCGAGTGTGCTGGGCTTTAGAGTAAATAATAACACCGTCAGGGGCTTGTGTGTGTGTTGCCAAGAGAACGCGGTGAGCAGGTCAGATGGCGCAGGTCTCGCGTGCTTTAAAGGTTGGTTAAACGCGTGTATTTTTATTTCTGCTCCGGTGTTATGCTCTTGCTCTGCCAATGACAGACATCAGCTGTCCCGTTAGCGGATCCGTGCTAACAGTAGAGCTTTCTCTGGAGGACAGGTGGATCTGACATGATCATGATCATGACTTGACTTCTTACAGGAGGGGTTTTAGCAACTTAATATTTGATAAGGACATTGAAATTAATTATTCATTATATGAACAGCATCTTACTGTAATCCGTGTTATTCACTATGACCAACTTCTTTTGACAACCTAATATAAAAACAGTGTACTTGATGTGTAATGTTACTTGCACACTGGCCGTGGCTCAAAACCAAATAGACTCCCTACATAGACAGCTTCTTTGGGAGCCAATAATGACCTAAAATGGCTGTCTATGAAGGCAGCTCTGTAGGTTTTCGTGTCAGTGTGCCCAAAACTGCAGTTTATATAGACTTAAAAAGCTATAATACCCAGTAATGTTGTGTATGTAGGAAGCTTAGTTGGTTTTTGTTCAACAAAAATGCTGTCAAATAGGCTTTGATAGCCGAATTGCTACATATATCAGAAGTTCTCTAGGGTTTGATGCCCACAACTGCAGTCTATGTAGGCTGAAAATTGATGTCCAAAAATTGGATTTATGCAGAAGGGTCAGTAGGTTTTGATGTCCATAAATGGTGTCAAATAGGCTTTGATAAGCTAAATGTTGTAGCCAAATACTGGAAACTCTCTAGGGTTTGATGCCTAAAAGTGCAGTCTATATAGACAGACAGCCTATAATGGCCAGTAATGCTGTCTAGGTAGAAATATCAGTAGATTTTGATGCCCAGACCTGATGTCAAATTGGCTAAATGCTGTATATATTGAAAGCTCTCTATGGTTTGATGTCCAAAAATGCAGTCTATATAGGCCGAAAAGCTATAATGGCCAGTAATGCTGTCTAGGTAGAAATATCAGTAGATTTTGATGCCCAGACCTGATGTCAAATTGGCTAAATGCTGTATATATTGAAAGCTCTCTATGGTTTGATGTCCAAAAATGCAGTCTATATAGGCCGAAAAGCTATAATGGCCAGTAATGCTGTCTAGGTAGAAGGCTCGCTAGGTTTTAATTAGAGGTCGACCGATAGTGGATTTTGCCGATACCGATAGCTAGGTTGGACCACACTGGCCGATACCGATTAATTAACCGATAGTTTTTAAAATGGATACTGAACAAAAACTAAAATAATGCTTTATTAAAAAAACAGTACTGAACCATACTACTAGTAGTAGTAGTAGTAATAATAATAATAAAAATGTTGAAATTAACAC